TCACCACTGCTGGAGTGTTACACACACACATCACCACTGCTGGAGTGTTACACACACATCACCACTGCTGGAGTGTTACACACACACATCACCACTGCTGGAGTGTTACACACACACGTCACCACTGCTGGAGTGTTACACACACACATCACCACTGCTGGAGTGTTACACACACACATCACCACTGCTGGAGTGTTACACACACACATCACCACTGCTGGAGTGTTACACACACACATCACCACTGCTGGAGTGTTACACACACACGTCACCACTGCTGGAGTGTTACACACACACATCACCACTGCTGGAGTGTTACACACACACGTCACCACTGCTGGAGTGTTACACACACACATCACCACTGCTGGAGTGTTACACACACACACACACACATCACCACTGCTGGAGTGTTACACACACACACACACACATCACCACTGCTGGAGTGTTACACACACACACACACATCACCACTGCTGGAGTGTTACACACACACACACATCACCACTGCTGGAGTGTTACACACACACACACACACACATCACCACTGCTGGAGTGTCACACACACACACACACACACATCACCACTGCTGGAGTGTCACACACACACATCACCACTGCTGGAGTGTCACACACACACACATCACCACTGCTGGAGTGTTACACACACACGTCACCACTGCTGGAGTGTCTCACACACACACACGTCACCACTGCTGGAGTGTCACACACACACACACACACATCACCACTGCTGGAGTGTCACACACACACATCACCACTGCTGGAGTGTCACACACACACACATCACCACTGCTGGAGTGTTACACACACACACACGTCACCCCTGCTGGAGTGTCACACACACACACACACACACATCACCACTGCTGGAGTGTCACACACACACACACACACATCACCACTGCTGGAGTGTTACACACACACATCACCACTGCTGGAGTGTTACACACACACACGTCACCACTGCTGGAGTGTTACACACACACACACGTCACCACTGCTGGAGTGTCACACACACACGTCACCACTGCTGGAGTGTCACACACACACGTCACCACTGCTGGAGTGTCACACACACACGTCACCACTGCTGGAGTGTCACACACACACGTCACCACTGCTGGAGTGTCACACACACACGTCACCACTGCTGGAGTGTTACACACACACACGTCACCCCTGCTGGAGTGTTACACACACACACGTCACCACTGCTGGAGTGTTACACACACACACACACGTCACCACTGCTGGAGTGTCACACACACACGTCACCACTGCTGGAGTGTTACACACACACGTCACCACTGCTGGAGTGTCACACACACGTCACCACTGCTGGAGTGTTACACACACACGTCACCACTGCTGGAGTGTTACACACACACACACTCACACACACACACACACACACACACACACACACACACACACACACACACACACACACACACACACACACACACACACACACACACACACACACACACACACACACACACACACACACACACACACACACACACACACACACACACACACACACACACACGTCACCACTGCTGGAGTGTTACACACACACACACACACACGTCACCACTGCTGGAGTGTTACACACACACACACACACACGTCACCACTGCTGGAGTGTTACACACACACACACACACACGTCACCACTGCTGGAGTGTTACACACACACACACACACACACACACACACACACACACACACACACACACACACACACACACACACACACACACACACACACACACACACACACACACACACACACACACACACACACACACACGTCACCACTGCTGGAGTGTTACACACACACACACACACACACACACACACACACACACACACACACACACACACACACACACACACACACACACACACACACACACACACACACACACACACACACACACACACCACACACACACACACACACACACACACGTCACCACTGCTGGAGTGTTACACACACACACACACACACGTCACCACTGCTGGAGTGTTACACACACACACACACACACGTCACCACTGCTGGAGTGTTACAGTGTTACACACACACACACACACACACACACACACACACACACACACACACACACACACACACACACACACACACACACACACACACACACACACACACACACACACACACACACACACACACACACACACACACACACACACACACACACACACACACACACACACACATACGTCACCACTGCTGGAGTGTCACACACACACACACGTCACCACTGCCCGAGTGTACCACACACACACGTCACCACTCCTGGAGTGTTACACACACACACACACACACACACACACACACACACACACACACACACACACACACACACACACACACACACACACACACACACACACACACACACACACACACACACGTCACCACTGCTCGAGTGTGTATCACCGATTAAAGACATTGTTTCTCACCTTACCTCACTTCAATTGCTGCATATATATCCACACCACTGAATTCTATATACAAAATTCATTGGATTAACTAAATTGTAAATTCGTAAATAACATTGCCAGACCTTGGACATCGAAAACCCATATAGAGGTGGTACAGGATCCTTGTTGCCGACCCAAGCTCATTTAGCCTAGGGCCATCCTGCACCATGTTGCACAGGCTCAATGTTCGCCTCCAGAGAACCTCCTTCTCTCCACCGCCGAGATTTTAGCACAAATCTTCTATCTTATAATATCTCCACTATAAGATAGGAGATTATATACCGGAGCTCGTAGCTTGAAAGCGTATACAAAAAGCATATACAATCTCAACATATTGAAAGCTTTGCATGCTTCAAAGTTTGTACTATTATTGCTTGACTGCTATTTAGAATAGCAGTCAAGTTACCGAAATTTATGGTAAAGAAACTAGTGATAATTGAAAGGTTTATTTTATACAACGTTTCGTTCCACTCTGGAACACCTTCAGGTAAAGAATGAATACAGAAGGTGCAAATTTATCTTAGGTATACACAGGGACGAGGCGAAGCTGTGTTGGGTAAGGTAAAGGGTCGAAAGAATGTAGGGATAATCAAATATAAGGTAAGAAAGATGGGAACAATAGGGATGGATGCCAGTAGAACATTGGGTAAGGCAGTGAGCGAGGAGAACCTGGTAGAGATGTCGTCATTATCCTGTACTGTTTGGCGAGATCTGGATTCGAGCGTAGGTAGTTCCGGGATAGTTTACTTTTGTACCATCGTGGCCGAGTCAGTTAAGGCAGGTGTCTGGGACCATGGTGGCCGAGTCAGTTAAGGCAGGTGTCTGGGACCATCGTGGCCGAGTCAGTTAAGGCAGGTGTCTGGGACCATCGTGGCCGAGTCAATTAAGGCAGGTGTCTGGGAATCACCAGAATTCAGGTTAAAGCAACTCCATGACCTCAAAATAATATTCATTGATATTTCACGCCACTATGATTTCATTGTGATCTGAGTAAGGCGTAAGTATGTAAACACCGTTGCTGTAGGCCAAAGTGTGGGTTGGGTCGACTGTAAAACCCTGGTTGGGCTCCAGTTCAGGGCCTCCAGAACCTCCTAGTGAATTCAGTAGAGTTCCAGGTTGGTTGACTTTAGAAACATCGTGGCTGACTGTGACTGATGTTTATCTTCCTATGACAACGTGCAATATTGGCACTTATGCTGATCTAATTTGTCCATGCCGTTGTTAACATTACGGCTATTGTAGCACTAGTTAGTCAGTGCTGACTTAATCAAATTTTGCTCAACAAAACCCTTGCACTGAGCAATGTGTTTTGCCACTCTCAAGTCGAGAACATGATCACATAAACTGGAATGTAAATACAAGGCATTAGATTTCTGGGCCATACGAGTTGAGTATGATGTTTTAAACGTGAATACCCGATTGACCGATGTACACAAATGCACAATAATTGCAAGGGATCGTATACACTCAACTTGCTGCAGATTGGTGGGGGTTCTTAATTAAAATGGATTTAATTTTATTATAATTTTTGAACATCAGTTCAGTATTAAAGCTCTTCAAGGGTGGGGTGGCAAGTTTTGCTAGTCCTTCATTATACGTAAAACAAGCGATTTTTTTGTTCCGGTTTAGCCAAGGGAGTATGCTGGTGGAACGTATGTTCAGCTTGACCAAACGAGACATCCAAGAAAGATTTTGGATATTGCAATTTCTTTCCAATTTCGAATATGTTAGGTATTTCTTCATAACCAAATTCAGAGCTGCAATCCCACATTGATCTGAGACACATGCCAGGGGCCTGCTGAATGCACCGGTCGACTTCCCAGTACCCATCAGGTCTGCTGTATGTTCCGGACTAGTTCCCAGTACCCCTCAGGTCTGCTGTATGTTCCGGAAGAGTTCTCAGTACCCATCAGGTCTGCTGTATGCCCCAGTCAACTTTCCAGTATCCCCTAGGTCTGTTATATGCTCCAATCTAGTTCCCAGTACCCCTCAGGTCTGCTGTATGTTCCGGACTAGTTCCCAGTACCCCTCAGGTCTGCTGTATGTTCCGGCCTAGTTCCCAGTACCCCTCAGGTCTGTTGTATGTTCCGGCCTAGTTCCCAGTACCCCTCAGGTCTGCTGTATGTTCCGGACTAGTTCCCAGTACCCCTCAGGTCTGCTGTATGTTCCGGCCTAGTTTCCAGTACCCCTCAGGTCTGCTGTATGTTCCGGCCTAGTTCCCAGTACCCCTCAGGTCTGCTGTAAGTTCCGGCCTAGTTCCCAGTACCCCTCAGGTCTGCTGTATGTTCCGGCCTAGTTCCCGGTACCCCTCAGGTCTGCTGTATGTTCCGGCCTAGTTCCCGGTACCCCTCAGGTCTGCTGTATGTTCCGGCCTAGTTCCCGGTACCCCTCAGGTCTGCTGTATGTTCCGGCCTAGTTCCCGGTACCCCTCAGGTCTGCTGTATGTTCCGGCCTAGTTCCCGGTACCCCTCAGGTCTGCTGTATGTTCCGGCCTAGTTCCCGGTACCCCTCAGGTCTGCTGTATGTTCCGGCCTAGTTCCCGGTACCCCTCAGGTCTGCTGTATGTTCCGGCCTAGTTCCCGGTACCACTAGGGTCTGCTGAATGCCGTCGCCTCGATTTCATCCCCTACCCCACCTGTCTGTTTTATGCCCTGAGTTTCGATTTCAACACAATCAGGTGTGCCGTGTGTCCCGGCATCGTTCCCACACTGCTCATGTCCGCTGTTGTTCGCTGAACCATCTCCGGCACCAGCGGTTGTCTCTGTGAACGTTCTACTCGCTGGTGGGTGAGGGTGTGTGGGGGGCGTGTGGGTGGTGTTAGGGGCGGGCCCCACCTGAGGGTGTGTGCGGGGCGTGTGGGTGGTGTTGGGGGCGGGCCCCACCTGAGGGTGTGTGCGGGGCGTGTGGGTGGTGTTGGGGGCGGGCCCCACCTGAGGGTGTGTGCGGGGCGTGTGGGTAGTGTTAGGGGCGGGCCCCACCTGAGGGTGTGTGCGGGGCGTGAGGGTGGTGTTGGGGGCGGGCCCCACCATAGACAGCAACACCGGCAGGAACACCAGTCCATGGTATACTCCATACAGACACACTCCTACAAATATCTGAAATATAAGATGTAGTTGTATTATTGTTTGGACAGAAAGAATTTTATATTTTTTTTATTTCTGAGTAGTTCTTAGAATATATATATATATATATATATATATATATATATATATATATATATATATATATATATATATATATATATATATATATATATATATATATATATATATATATATATATATATATATATATATATATATATATATATATATATATATATATATATATATATTACTAAATATGACCGAAAAAGTAAGATTAATAATTCTAACACGAATTTTCTCAATCTTTCGTACATTTCTTTTCACTGTTGGAGGTAAATCAAAAATCAATTCTCCAAAATTAATTTTTATTTCTAGTCTGACGCGACACGAGCACGTTTCGTAAAACTTATTACATTTTCAAAGACTTTAGTTTACAAATACACAACTGAATAGAACTTACGCATCTCCGATTTTATATCTACATTTGAGTGAGGTGGATGGGGTGAGGTGGCATTAATAGGGTATTAATTTCATCAACACAAGACAGAACAAGAGGTGGCATTAATAGGGTATTAATTTCATCAACACAAGACAGAACACGAAACAATGGGTATTGAATAGAAGTGTTTGTAGAAAGCCTATTGGTCCATATTTCTTGATGCTTCTATATTGGAGCGGAGTCTTGAGGTGGGTAGAATATAGTTGTGCATTAATTGGCTGTTGATTGCTGGTGTTGACTTCTTGATGTGTAGTGCCTCGCAAACGTCAAGCCGCCTGCTATCGCTGTATCTATCGATGATTTCTGTGTTGTTTACTAGGATTTCTCTGGCGATGGTTTGGTTGTGGGAAGAGATTATATGTTCCTTAATGGAGCCCTGTTGCTTATGCATCGTTAAACGCCTAGAAAGAGATGTTGTTGTCTTGCCTATATACTGGGTTTTTTGGAGCTTACAGTCCCCAAGAAGGCATTTGAAGGCATAGACGACGTTAGTCTCTTTTAAAGCGTTCTGTTTTGTGTCTGGAGAGTTTCTCATGAGTAGGCTGGCCGTTTTTCTGGTTTTATAGTAAATCGTCAGTTGTATCCTCTGATTTTTGTCTGTAGGGATAACGTTTCTATTAACAATATCTTTCAGGACCCTTTCCTCCGTTTTATGAGCTGTGGAAAAGAAGTTCCTGTAAAATAGTCTAATAGCGGGTATAGGTGTTGTGTTAGTTGTCTCTTCAGAGGTTGCATGGCGTTTCACTTTCCTTCTTATGATGTCTTCGACGAAACCATTGGAGAAGCCGTTGTTGACTAGGACCTGCCTTACCCTACAGAGTTCTTCGTCGACTTGCTTCCATTCTGAGCTGTGGCTGAGAGCACGGTCGACATATGCGTTAACAACACTCCTCTTGTACCTGTCTGGGCAGTCGCTGTTGGCATTTAGGCACATTCCTATGTTCGTTTCCTTAGTGTAGACTGCAGTGTGGAAACCTCCGCTCTTTTCCATGACTGTTACATCTAGAAAGGGCAGCTTCCCATCCTTTTCCATCTCGTAAGTGAAACGCAGTACGGAACTCTGCTCAAATGCCTCCTTCAGCTCCTGCAGATGTCTGACATCAGGTACCTGTGTAAAAATGTCGTCAACATACCTGCAGTATATGGCCGGTTTCAAGTTCATGTCGACTAAGACTTTTTGCTCGATGGTACCCATGTAGAAGTTTGCAAACAGGACACCTAGGGGAGAACCCATGGCGACCCCATCTACTTGCTTATACATGTGCCCATCCGGGCTCAAGAAGGGTGCCTCTTTAGTACAAGCTTGGAGTAGTTTCCTCAGAATATTTTCTGGTATGTCAAGAGGAGTACAGGCTGGATCACGATACACTCTGTCGGCTATCATCCCGATTGTCTCGTCCACAGGTACGTTGGTAAACAGCGATTCTACGTCCAACGAGGCTCTTATCCCTGTGGCCCGTGTGCCCCGCAGTAAGTCAACAAATTCCTTTGGAGACTTCAGGCTGAAGGCGCAAGGAACATAAGGAGTCAGCAGGCCGTTGAGTCGCTTCGCCAGTCTGTACGTGGGTGTGGGTATCTGGCTAATGATTGGCCGAAGTGGGTTTCCAGGCTTGTGTGTCTTGACATTTCCATACGCATATCCAGGTTTATATTCCCCAATGATCTTTGGCAGGTGTAGTCCGGATTTCTTGGCGTTCACAGTTTCGATCAGTTTGTTGACCTTTGCTTTTAATTCGGCTGTAGTGTCCTTCGTTACCCTTTGGAACTTAGTTTGGTCAGAGAGTATGATGTTCATTTTCGCCAGATATTCGTCTTTTTTAAGAATGACATATATTGGCGACTTGTCACCTCTCCTGACAACTATCTCCTTGTTCTCACGAAGGCTTTTAGCTGCCGCTTTGAGCTCGGGGGACAGTATGGTGCTTCTGTAATTGCCTCGATTCTTTCCTCCTTCTGCAATAAGTTCTGCTTGTAAGGTATCTTTGGTAGTGACCTTCTTTTGTGTCATATTTAATAATATATGTCTACAGGAAAGACTGCTACTAAAATATACTAATATATATATATATATTAGTTCCATTATGTTCCTTAATGGAGCCCTGTTGCTTATGCATCGTTAAACGCCTAGAAAGAGATGTTGTTGTCTTGCCTATATACTGGGTTTTTTGGAGCTTACAGTCCCCAAGAGGGCATTTGAAGGCATAGACGACGTTGGTCTCTTTTAAAGCGTTCTGTTTTGTGTCTGGAGAGTTTCTCATGAGTAGGCTGGCTGTTTTTCTGGTTTTATAGTAAATCGTCAGTTGTATCCTCTTATTTTTGTCTGTAGGGATAACGTTTCTATTAACAATATCTTTCAGGACCCTTTCCTCCGATTTATGAGCTGTGGAAACGAAGTTCCTGTAAAATAGTCTAATAGGGGGTATAGGTGTTGTGTTGGTTGTCTCTTCAGAGGTTGCATGGCGTTTCACTTTCCTTCTTATGATGAATCGACGAAACCATTGGAGAAGCCGTTGTTGACTAGGACCTGCCTTACCCTATAGAGTTCTTCGTCGACTTGCTTCCATTCTGAGCTGTGGCTGAGAGCACGGTCGACATATGCGTTAATAACACTCTTCTTGTACCTGTCTGGGCAGTCGCTTTTGTCATTTAGGCACATTCCTATGTTCGTTTCCTTAGTGTAGGAAACAGTGACAATTGACAAGACAAGATCAAGATAGTAGTAGTCTTGTCACTTTGGTAGTGACAAGAAGGTCACTACGAAAGATACCTTACAAGCAGAACTTATTGCGGAAGGAGGAAAGAATCGAAGCAATTACAGAAGCACCATACTGTCCCATAGGGACCCAAGTGTAGGGACCCATATATATATATATATATATATATATATATATATATATATATATATATATATATATATATATATATATATATATATATATATATAACTGAAAACTCACACCCCAGAAGTAACTCGAACCCATACTGCCAGGAGCAACGCAACTAGTATGTACAGGGACACCTTAATCCGCTTGACCATCACGACCGTTTTCAGTTGTATATAGTTTTCAGTTGTATATAGTCCTGGGGACCATTCAGGCTTGTTTGCATTTGTGTTCCTCACGTGTGCCCCAAAGAATGAGGTGATTTGATAAAATGCTATGCCCAAGATTACCATCCGAGTGCCGGCGGGGAAGTGGTTCATATAGCCTCGGCTATCACTTCCTTTTGTCCGGTCGTGATGGTCAAGCGGATTAAGGCGTCCCTGTACATACCAGTTGTGGGAGTATGGGTTCGAGTCACTTCTGGGGTGTGAGTTTTCAGTTGTATATAGTCCTGGGGACCATTCAGGCTTGTTTGCATTTGTGTTCCTCACGTGTGCCCCAAAGAATGAGGTGATTTGATAAAATGCTATGCCCAAGATTACCATCCGAGTGCCGGCGGGGAAGTGGTTCATATAGCCTCGGCTATCACTTCCTTTTGTCCGGTCGTGATGGTCAAGCGGATTAAGGCGTCCCTGTACATACCAGTTGTGGGAGTATGGGTTCGAGTCACTTCTGGGGTGTGAGTTTTCAGTTGTATATAGTCCTGGGGACCATTCAGGCTTGTTTGCATTTGTGTTCCTCACGTGTGCCCCAAAGAATGAGGTGATTTGATAAAATGCTATGCCCAAGATTACCATCCGAGTGCCGGCGGGGAAGTGGTTCATATAGCCTCGGCTATCACTTCCTTTTGTCCGGTCGTGATGGTCAAGCGGATTAAGGCGTCCCTGTACATACCAGTTGTGGGAGTATGGGTTCGAGTCACTTCTGGGGTGTGAGTTTTCAGTTGTATATAGTCCTGGGGACCATTCAGGCTTGTTTGCATTTGTGTTCCTCACGTGTGCCCCAAAGAATGAGGTGATTTGATAAAATGCTATGCCCAAGATTACCATCCGAGTGCCGGCGGGGAAGTGGTTCATATAGCCTCGGCTATCACTTCCTTTTGTCCGGTCGTGATGGTCAAGCGGATTAAGGCGTCCCTGTACATACCAGTTGTGGGAGTATGGGTTCGAGTCACTTCTGGGGTGTGAGTTTTCAGTTGTATATAGTCCTGGGGACCATTCAGGCTTGTTTGCATTTGTGTTCCTCACGTGTGCCCCAAAGAATGAGGTGATTTGATAAAATGCTATGCCCAAGATTACCATCCGAGTGCCGGCGGGGAAGTGGTTCATATAGCCTCGGCTATCACTTCCTTTTGTCCGGTCATGATGGTCAAGCGGATTAAGGCGTCCCTGTACATACCAGTTGTGGGAGTATGGGTTCGAGTCACTTCTGGGGTGTGAGTTTTCAGTTATATATATATATATATATATATATATATATATATATATATATATATATATATATATATATATATATATATATATATATATATATATATATATATATATATGTTGTACCTAGTAGCCAAAACGTCGTACTCGGCCTACTATGCAAGGCCCGATTTGCCTAATAAGCCAAGTTTTCCGGAA